CCCTCGTCGACTTGCGTAGCACTCCTTTTCGCTGACTGGCTAGTGTTTATGGAATATTATTTTTTTGTGCCTCATCAGAGGAGATACACTCGGCGCGAATCGCCTATACAAATGAGGCCAATTTATACGCGTCGACTTGGACGGGCACATTTGCTGGAAGCAGTAGACGGAGAGGAGCCGAACATGTCAGGAAAAAAATTGGCCATCGAACGTTTATCGTAGTTGTCTTGGGATAGTCTGGCATCCTGATTACTTTATTCTGAGCTTCTATGAATATTAATTCCAGCGGTTTAATATTACCGAATTTGACTGGCTTCATAACGCATTTGTAACTTACAACGTGCTTTTTCTCTGTCTTACAATGATTTTGCCAAACCTGCTTCTTCGTCTATTCTTAAAGTCGGAAAACTTGATGGTAAATTTGAAATAAATAAATAAATAAATAAATAAATAATAATAATAATAACTAAACAAGCCATTTCCACCTGGATAAACCTTATAGCGGAGCCACCCAAAACGTAAACCGGACTTTTTCCGCAGGACCGATCCGTTTTTAAAGCGATAATCACTACAGTTTGTCGCGATGCAGTGTGGTCGCGTTCCGTATCGCAGAAATGGCTCGGAACCCTCACCAGAGGCCCGGATCAGCAGCGCGTGCGACGGCGTGCACAGTGCGTACGCGTGCGGATGCGTCGCGCTCTTTGCGAAAAAGAAAGAAAAACACCCAGCTGATATAGTACAGAATGCAAAGCGGCTGCAAACGTAAAATGGAGAGGGCCGACAAAGAATCTCGATTCAAAAATCGCCAGAAACTTTCTTCCGTTTCGCAACTCATCCGTTCCCTAAGACGTGTATCCAGTTGTTTTCTGATCGTTCCAAGTGTGCCCATGTGCTCTTCTTTGCTCATGAAGCCCCTGGTGGCTCTTTGGGCGAGCTAACTTTTTTGGCGGGACGCCGCAAAATCCTGGCAGTTTCATATCAAAAACGGGGACCCTTTTTGGGGCGAGTGGCGGACCCGTCAGAGAATCGGATTTGCACGGATATCACAGCTTATTCTATGGATTCCTTTTGGCACAATTCGAGCAAGGCAAGCCCGTGTTCCATTTTTGGAAGGCATAAGGAGGTGAGATTCGGAAGTTCTTCCGAAAAGTTCAAGGAAACGCCCTTTACAAATCGTGATTTGATTCGGACGTTTTACTACAAAGTCTGGGTAATAGAATTTGAGGGCAGTTACACCCGGTAGTTGTGAACTGCGCCTAGAGAGGTTCGTACTCGATACGAATTCGTCAGATTTCCAGCACAAAATTTCCCTACCCATTTAATCCGTCTTCTCTCTCACTCTCGCGCTCTCTCTATCTCTTTCTCTCTCTCTCTCTCTCTCTCTCACGGTTGCCTTCTCTTACTTGACCTTTCAGAGTTTTCTAGTACAATAAGAGTTCCGCGCTGTTATTTTCTTAGAACAACATTTCGCTCGACCCCCGTCATCCCGGATCCCATAAATTATGCCCAACTGCTACCCGTCTCAGAATTTTTCAAGTTATGCAAATTGGATGTGTCAGCTGAATGGGGAAGACGTGCTGGTTAGCCTAATGGTGTTTCAAAAAGGCACGCCCCTCAACTTTTCAAAAATATGTTTTACAAAAGGGTTTCCTACGGAACCTGAAACGCTGCCAACAACTTTGAATACCTTTCGCCCCCCAAAAATGGAGTGCGACTTAGCTTTCAATCTTAGCGAAAAATTTGATTGTTAACGATTTGAGAAGTGAATTTTCAATAAAAAGAAATTTTTGAGGGAATCATGCAAATCCATGAAAGGCTTTTGCAAAGACTTCAACTTCCCAGAAAACAACAACAGCGGGCTTTGGCAAGAAAATGGGCACTTCCAGTGGTGGATGAGATGTGGACCCCGGGGGGCTACTCAAAAAGCGGATCCCCTATATGCCGCGGCATCCACAAATCTTCACACAAAAACTCGGGGGTTCTTTTGAGAATCGAGGTGGTGGTGGCCACTCTATTTATCATCCCTTTTTATGAAGGTTTGTTACTTCCTCAGATGGTTGGGTCTATTTACAGAATTTTTAGGCCGAAACTAAGCCTAAGCTAAGCCTAAGCTGAGCTTAGGCTAAGCCTAAGTTAAGCCTAAGCTACGCCAAGCGTCTGTTTTCAAAGAATTAGCGAACGCGCCTGAATTTGGATCCTTCTTTTTTCGCCATCTTCCAAAAATCATTGTTTTTCCGGGAAGCCTGGGGGCCATCCGGTCCCCCTCCTTCCATTTGGCTAACAGGGTTTCCGTAACAGGAGGTCACAACATCCTCTCTGTTTTTTGACCCAAGCACATTGGTTTCTCTCTCTTTCTCGCTCTCCCTCTCCCTCCCTAACTCTCTCTATCTTGCTCTCTCGCTCACTCACTCACATTCTCATCTTCTTCAATCCTCTATTCTGGTCTTCGCTTCCATAATTCCTAAATCTGCTAGATTAAGCTGATTTGGGCGTGTTTTAGGGCCCAACACAACCCGGAATGAATCTGCTATGGTCTGGGAGAGCGAGCCAGCTAGAGAGTGGGAGAGAGAGAAAGAGAGCGAGAGAGAGAGAGAGCGAGAGAGAGAGAGAGAGAATTGTTGCCGTTGAAATTGGTTTTTCCTGGTCTGGAGGTCAAAGGTTGCTCATTTCATTGGCTTTCCTTAGGCCGAAGATCCCTAAGCGTGGTTTTTCAGGTTCGACTAGATTCTGCCAGCTTTTCCGGTGTCCGTCCTGCCTTAGATTTGACTTTTCTCTATTTTCTTTGTCATTCTGGAAGCCATAAGCCATGACTTATCCAAAAACTCTGAAAAACACTTCCGGCCGATCCTGAACTCAGCCAATACTTCCAAGCTTTTGAGGTCATACCCCTCTGGCAGAACAGGTGCTAGTAATGGCCCTAAAGCTATTCTTCCGCCCCCAGTTTTTCCGTGTTTTCCTTCATTTCCGGGATCAATGCCCATTTCTCGAGAGATTTATCGCAATAACTTCCTGCACTAAAAGCCGGTCTTCGTTCGGTGAGGATATCAGCAGACTTTTGTCTTTTTTGAAGGGTTGTAAAGTAGCTACGTTTGTCCAGGATCGGGTATGGTGTTGGAGTTTGCAGTATTTCAATTGCTGTCTGTAATAAACATCTCGTTAGCGTTTTTTAACAGGGCTAATAAAGCAAAGTGCGGGATTTTGTAGCCATGAAGACCCGCGATACGCAACGCGGCACGCATTGCGTTGCATATCGCGATCAGTACGGGATCTTTTCGTTGCCTTGTATCTCATTTACAGTTACCCGCGCCGCTATACGCAACGCGCGTGTTTCGAACGGTAACTGGTTACACTTGTTTGATTTTATAATCCGTTTTGCCATGGAACCGTGCAGGCGCGTTGCGTGTCGATCCAAAATCTGCTTGATTAGCGATTTCGCAGGATTTAGCGGCCCGCGACACGCCACACGGCATGCAACGCCAGACACGCAACTGGGAACCGTTTAGGATTCTAAAAGACATCCGCCAACATGACCGGTTGCACGCGAGCAGCCGCGTTGCGTGCTTAAAATGGATTCTTTCTGCAACGGACCGCTGCGCGACACGATACGCGTTCCGAAGCGTCGCGTCCGTTTAAGAAAAAGCCGATTTGCGGGAGCTGCTCCGCCAAAGCGTTCCGCTCAAAAGTCCAAGGCTCAAACTCCAAGAGCAACTATTGCTCTGATATTTTTCGAGGCCCTGATTGTTGGCAATGTGCCCCAGGTGAAACACTCGATCCAACAAGACCAACACGTCTGCTTGGATCCCCCATTTCTCGCCTCACACCATCCAGCGGAAAATGCGCCCAGGGCACGCGACTTTTTTTCTGCAGGGGCCTTTGGCGGTTGTAATTTGGCCATTGAGCTCGTTTTTGTGGTTTGGAATGGATGGTCTGGGGGAACGAACACGCAAGCAACGAACTCTTTTTGCCCTCACATACATCTAGACGAGGAAATTCATGGCCAATTGGGAGGGTTTAAAATGGGAGGCTCAGGAAGTCGTTGCGTCACCGGTCGAACAGACGTATATCCAATATAGTAATCTTTCATCATACCATTTTCTTTCTCAAATGACCTAGCTAGCATGCCTGTTTTTCCAAATCTGCAGCTTTCTTTCGAATTCCAAAAGAGTTACCTGCTAGCTTACCTCTCGGGGTGAAATCTGAAGTGCCGGCAGTCAGGTTGCCTGCTTACTGGTACTGAGCTGTTAACGGGGGAAGGGGGTTGCAAGCTATAAAGCCAGTACTTCCCAGGAAAAATCTCAGCGTTCTTTATTTTATTTTCTTGTGTTTTGGGGGGTTTTTGTGACTTCTAAAAGCAACAGAAGTAGTAGAGCCAGCTTCCCTTCTCCAAGCCGAATTTTTTCTACCCTTCGACACGATTCTAGTGTGTGGCCGTTTCCGCATTTTTTCCTACCGGCGTAAATATTTGATCTCTCCTAGACGTTCAACTCCACCTGTTCCATTATGGCGAATTGTCGGAGCAAAAACCCTTCAGAACAACGTTACACAGATTCCTTGGAGGCAATATTTTTCATCTACTCAAAATTGCGGCAAAACATCCCTGCAAAATCATTCAAAAAAAAGTTCAATTTTTCCGCTCTCGGCGACTTCAACAAGTTCATTTGCAGGCAACTCGCAAAATTCAAATTTTCTATGCTTCTGCCATTTTAAAAATGCCGTTTTTCCTCAAATTCCGCAAATAAAGGTCAAACGCACAGAATATTGCTCACACAGATCTGTTTTTTGCTCCGACGACTTCGAGAAGCTCAGTTACCCCCTAGAAGTGCGATCCTTCAATTTTTCGGTGTTCACTTTCCTCTTTATTTTCTCATCCTCAGATTCCCCAAGTCAATACGCCTGTAGTGAATTACAAGTTTAATACAGTAGCAAGACGGTACGGTGTATTTGGGTGGAGAGCCGATGCTTTGTGAACTCTGTTTATTGAACCATCGGTATCGCTTTTATAGGCCATGGCGGGCATTTGCATCTTCGTATAGCGGGGGTTCCCACGGTGGTCCGGCGGCTCCTGCCGGGCCCCGACTGTACGATTGAGATTTGAGGTCGCTGTGGCGACACTCCCCGGCGCGGCGAGGTGTCGTGGTAGTAGTCGCAGTCGTCGGTTTTGTGGTGATTGTCGTTGTTCCGTCGCAGAGGCGGCCTCCCCGGGCGAGAAGCTTTGGGCGAGGTTGTGATGGGTGGGATGAACTGGGTGCTCCGAGACCAAGCGGATTTGTGGGTGCGCGTTTGGAGGCGCCGTCGCTGCTGTTGTCAGAGTTGCGGTTGTTGGGAGAGGGCTTGTCGAGGTAGAGCTGCGTGGTGATTGGATTGTCGAGGTCAGTCTTGTCGTCGGCGGCGGTCGGGTCCGAGGGGCTCGGCGTCGCGTCCTCGGTGGTCTTAGTCTTCGGGTGGTGATGGAGAGATTGTGAAATTGCTTCATCTGGCGTCCTGGCTTCGGCAAAGGCTTCATCGTAGGCGTCGTCGCCCTCGTCTGCTGGCGTCCTGTCTTCGGCATAGGCCTCGTCGTTCTCGTCTGGCGTTCTGTCTTCGGCATGGGGTTCGTCGCTTAGAGGTTTGGAGGTTCGCTTGGGTTGGCTTGTTTGCTTGCTCGAGGATGGAGAGCCGGGTTCTTCTGCGGAAGTCGGCGAGAGTTCTTGCTTGGAGCTTTCGGCAGTGGTAAGTGATGATGAAGGTGGCGGTTCGGGATTGATGTTTGGGTCGACGGTCTTCTGGAGGGAGAGAGTTTTGTTGTTGACAGGGTCGATTGGAGTCGATTCAAGAGGTGTTGTTGTGTTGGGAGAGCCGCGGTCGGGTTTTGAGATGTCCGGGTTGCGGGTGGCTACGGCGTTGACTTCGGCTTGCGGTGTTGTTTCTGAGCTGAATCCTTTGGGCCTGGCGTCGCATATGCGGTCGCGAAGTTTGTTTGCTTCGCTTGCAGTGGTGAATGAAGCGTAGATGTAGTCGTTGGTGACTGGAGATTGATGATTGAAGTGCCGTGATGGCGACGGTCCGCTTGAATGGGACGTTGGAGATGTGTTCTTGATGTGGTGGTGATTAACAGGATCGTGAGGTCGCATCCTGTTTGATGCAGTGTGGTCTGCTGGTGATTGGGAGGCTTGTGGTTGTCCTTTAGTGTAGTTGTGGGTGATTGGCGGTGGGGCTTGGTACATCCCTGAACTTGAATTGGGTCGCAATTTATTCGATACTGGTGGTTGCGAGGCGTTGGGCTGATGATGGGCTTGGTACATCCCGGAACTTGAATTGGCTTGGTTGCAGCTTGGTTGCGGAAAGGGCTGGTCGTTCGATGGTAGGTGATTCTCTTTCGTCTGAGAATTAGTGGTCATTGGTTGTTTTGGAGCGTCCGGGCCGTTGATGTCGGTGGCGACGCTTGGTGCAGCGATCGCCTTGGTGCGTCGAGTCCTTTCGGGGGACTTTTGGAATGTCTTCTTACTGACTTGATCAAGTCGATAGCTTTCGAGTTCAGTCTGGTAGGGGATTAGAGTCTGGTCGATTTGGAAGCAAAGCAATTCGATGCGTTCCTGGGCTTCGATCGGTTGAATGGAGGCGTGCCATTCTTCGAGCTCGTGTTCGAGCTTTTGACGAGTTTCGGGAGGTGCTGCGTCGATATTTTTAGTCCAGTCGCACAGGCTGGACTCGATTTGGTGATGGAGTTGGGTGATCCACGCATGGTCGAGTTGTAGGTCCTCGATGAATGGCCTCAGCTTGGCAAAGCACAATTTGCGGGCTGGCTTGGCCGCGGAGAGTTTGTGCTCGAGGAGGTCGCCGACTTTGCCGGCCATAATCACAGCTTCAGAGAGCTTTCTTTGGTGGTCGTCAATCGACATTGTTTCGGACTGACGGACGGACAAATGATACGACATTGATGCATGGACAAGAACACAGAACAGAAATACACAGAATACACAGGAAAAAAGGGAAAACTCGAAAATTATGAAAAACTTGGAGTAGGAAATCCGGTGTTTTGAAACAAATTTTCCCCTTTTGAAAAGAAAATGGAACAAAATCAAAACTTGCGTAGCATGAAGATTGAAGGAGGTCCTGTGGTCGCCATTTTGTAGTGAATTACAAGTTTAATACAGTAGCAAGACGGTACGGTGTATTTGGGTGGAGAGCCGATGCTTTGTGAACTCTGTTTATTGAACCATCGGTATCGCTTTTATAGGCCATGGCGGGCATTTGCATCTTCGTATAGCGGGGGTTCCCACGGTGGTCCGGCGGCTCCTGCCGGGCCCCGACTGTACGATTGAGATTTGAGGTCGCTGTGGCGACAACGCCAACCAAAAATTAAAAAATCGGGTTTCCCTGCTCCCACCGACTTCAACAAGTTCAGCTCCTTCCCAAACTTTTGCAAATTCCGAAACTTCTCTATTTTCCACGTGTTCTTTGAAGTGTTGGGGGTGTTGAGAGCTGAGAGATCGGTGGTGGTTGTGGGTTCATTTGTCTTCGAACCAGGCGTCGTCAAGGGCCTTCTTCGGCTCTTGTTTTCGCTTTTTTGGCAGGCCCGAACCCGTGAAATACCCCACTCTAAAAAGCCGTGTGGTCTGGTGGCGTTGACGCCGTGCGGGAGACTCTTCTGAATTTTTGATGCCTAGAGGTAGATGATCAGTGTCTGGAAGGTGGACCTGGATTTTTACTTTATTAAGGGAGTCATTCGCAGTATTATTAAATATTTGATCTTGCCAGTGCCACCTGTTCAATTGTGTCCAATTTTGCGTTTTTAGTCTTCGGAATTAAGAAGCTTTTCTCGTGCGTAATCCAAACCTTCGCCTAAATCAAGAATTTGAGTTCAATTTCAATCAAGAATTTGAGTTTTTCTGGCATAACTTTTTCAAAGCAAATTTTAGATTATATGCATTTTTCCGGATTAATACAACCGCAACGCTTACTACTGCTTTTCCAATCTATAATCGATTACGACTGCTAAATCAGTCATCAGGCGGTTGCGTTGCGCTTTTTCGATTTTTTTTATTACAGCACTGGCTTCATAAATTTTCTGTCGATTTCTTGCAGCTCTCCCCTTTAAAGTAGCTAAAAGCTGGCTAAGCTCGCATTACGGCTGCGTTGCGGTCACGCTGCGGTTACGCCGCTTTAACATTAGGCGCGATGCAGCGGCAACGCCTTCGAATTTTTGCTTTTTTACGCCTGTCATAGGATTTTTCGGCATCTACCATTTTGTTCTATAAAGGTTCGTCCTTTTCCTACTTACATTCCTCACCTCATCCAACGAACCAATCTTGGGCCCAAATTGGGACAAAAATCGCCACCATCGCGCCTCCGGGCGCGTGTTGCCAAATGGACAAATCGGATTTGGGGTTCGCCGGGACACCTAATGGTGTTAGTGGCCTTGTTTCTAGGGTTCTATGTTTTTCTCACTCCCTCTCTCTCTCCCTCTTTCTCTCTCTCTTTTCCCCCTCTCTCTCTCTCTCTCTCTCTCTCTCTCTCCTTCCGATTGCCATCTCTGGTCCTTGGCCGGCCAATCTGATGGCCAGGATGTTGACAATAATGTTGATTGACATTTTCCAAATTTTTTAGGAGCCGGAGGAACACGCGCCGAGGTTTTAGTCTGGGTGCAAAGTGTCGAGAAATTGGCGTTCCTATTTCCCAAAAATTACTGTATGAAAATTGTATGATTTTATTCATACGATTTTCTGACCAAAATAGCTTTAGAGAAACCAGTATCGTAATCGTAAAACCCATTTTAAGAATGTTCAAACTATTTCAAATTCGCTGAATCGGCGCGAAAAATGTTCTAACATAATAATTTTCTATTATAATTTTCCGGGTAAATGTTGATTTAATGAATTAAAAAGATGAATCCAGTCTCAAATTCCTCATCTCATCTAATTTTCGTGATCTTCCTTTGAACCCGTTTTTGCGTATTTTCCATTTATTCCTGTCCCCTTGGTTTATCTTAAAAACGCCTCACCGCCCAATTTATATAAACAAACTTCCCCATTATAATTGGTTTATATTGCTATTTTTTTGCTGGATCATAGTACACCTCTGACTCCGTGCGATTCCTAGTTTACGCTCTATCCCATCTGTTCGGATTTTTTTGGGCACATTGTTCCGAAACGATACTCAATACGCTAATCCCCACGAAACCGCCCCACCCCCACTTTTCAATAGGCCTACTCTAAACAATAATAACTCATTAATAGGGGCTATTTTTGATGGGGAGATGGTACAGCATACAAAATACGAGTTCATCGAGTAAATTAGAAAGAATTATTTTGATTAGACTGAGGATATCCCTTTTACCGTTGTGTAACTAGTAGCTTAACGTAACGTTTCCAATCAAAAATAAGCTAGTGAAAATAGCGTCGGTCAGGTGTAAGTAGTAGTGTATCGGAATTCGCATTAGAATAGTCAAAACGACGTAAATTAGACGAAATTTTTATGATTCAATGCACTGGTGCCTTCATAGTAACGTATCGGAAACATAAACGGGTCTAGAAACGGGGCCACGATATGGTCAATCGCTTGAGTATACACTTACTTCCGTATTCTTTCGGCGAGCATTTTCCGAAATTCCACCACGTTTGCATGAGGTTCCCTTGTTAGGCAATTTGTAGCGTATCGGAATATCGAAATCAAGGCTCTATTTTCCTGAATTAAATCAATTTCTAGCTGAATGAAGTTGCCACGGTATCAGGAAGTTTTTGCAGCAGTTACCTCTCCTAGTGATTAATGCAAATCGGCATAACTTATTTATTAGGAGCAAGGGGCAGAAATCCTTCGAGATGCCAAATTGGGCACCGGGAAAGCGAGGGGAGCGCGGCCGGGTGGTTAGAAATCGAGATTTGGCAAGAAGCCAAGCTTCATTTTACCGAATTTTTAGGCCAATTAGCAGAATTCTTTGAGGAATTAAGTTTTTATGTTACTGCTTCTTGTTTGAATTATGTTAAATAGTTTTGTATTAAAATTTTACAAAAAAGCTGCAAGTATATCTTGAAAAACGCATCATAACAGAGAATCCCTCCAATTTTGACGGTTTAGTCCGCTTTCTAGAAGTTGTTCGACACATCAATGATAGTTTAAGCCATCTTTAGAGTCGATTGCCACCCCTTGTTTATTATTTCTCTCTCTCTTTCCCTCGAAACATGAAGCCGAAAACTGACCCCCATGGGGTGGGCGTCCCCGAGCGCTTGCCCCTATTTCGAGACCCACCGCCCCCCACCCCGACCCAGAACATCGTCCCCTAATTTGGGTACATTTTCTCGGCTTTTTTCTAGGGTAAACAGTTTTTGGGGTACGGCAAACTCATAGTACACGCACGGAACGCGGAAAGTGGCCGAATTTTTACTTGGGTCTGGCGGAAGCAATTAGAGCTGGGTGAGTCATGATATTCCAGTGAACCCAATTACATGGTTTATCCTTAATATTAATGCGAATTAAAGGTACTTAGAGCCCTGTAGAGAGAGAAAGAGAGACAGAGCGCGAGTGAGAGAGAAAATGATAGAGGAGCGATAGGGAGAGAGAAAGAGAGAGAACGAGAGAGAGAGGTAGAGCGAGAGAGAGTGAAAGCGAGAGAGAGAGAGAGTGCGAGAAAGAGAGAGAGAGAGCGAAAGAGATATAGAGAGTGAGTGCGAGAAAAGGAGAGCGTGCGAGATATAGAGAGTGAGAGAGAGAACGATAGCGAGAGTGGAAGAGATAATTTACTCCCATCTATACCCCTCTATGGCTAATTGCCAGGATTTCTTTCCCTACCATTAATGTGCGTTCTCAATTCAGTCCAACCACATCAATCTAACAGAGGCCTTCCCAAACTTTTCCTCTGATTCAGGCGATAATCCAATCCCGACCCCCCACCTTTCCACCCGGGTCAACTTTTCCGTTGGCATCCACCCAAAATAGATCTCGGCTAGAGAAGAAGAAGCACGTCTTTCCAGCTAAATCCAGTTAAGCAAGATGGGGGTGAGGGTGGCGGTGGATGTGGCACCCGGGGCGTCATTTCATTTAGCAGTCGCTGCACCTTGCTGTTTATTTTGGATCTGAGGGTACAATGGCTAGAATAGGGGGATGGAAATGTGGCTTTTTCTGGCCTATTGAGAAGATGCTACGGTTAGAAATAGTCCAGTATTTGCATTTTCGCTCTCTCTATCTCTCTCTCTCTCTCTTCTCTCTCTCTCTCTCTTTCTTTCTTTCTCTCTCTCTTTTGCTTCTGGGTGCAAAATTGGAGCAAGAACTTCGGCGGGGCTTTCGCCATCTACGTGCCAAAGGTCATTTTTCCGATTTTTAAGAATTTTGGTTTGTGGAAGAGCTTATGCACACTCAAATTTTACAGATATCACTATTTTTAACGTCACTTTTCATGAGGTTTTAAACTCAAACCTCTGCAAAAAGGGCTACACGCTAGTGCTGTTGACGACGGCCCGGAAGTGCCGTGGACTTGCCTGGGCCCGTAATCAGGTCAGCGGTGTGGTCGACGGACGAACAAGCGAACGCCGTTGTCTTCTCGCCTATTTTGTTCTCGGATTTCAACACCAAACTTTTTGACAAGTCTGGGTTGCTAGCTGTCGAAATTTTTAGTTTCTCACGGATTGAAAAACGCTGGTTCGGTTTAATTATTTGATTTGACGATGAGGCGCCTGTCACGCCGACTTCAAAACAGGACTCTGTACCTTTTGTAAGGTCATACACGGTCTTTGTGCGCATGGCGACGCACACGATACACAACGGGAGTCCGATCTTTTATTGCCTCAAGGATTTACGCCTTTTACACTGGCAACGGGAAAGTCATGTTGCATGTCGTAGATGCGTGGCGTGGCGCAGGCGCGTTGCTCGTCGCGGTCGGTATGGCGTTGCGCTCCCAGGTGGGTCC